ATCACAAACCGTTTGAAGATTTAGAAACTAGACTTAAAGATCTTTCTATCCATAAAAATTCATCACCTAATTCATTGAGTACGAATTATAGTGAATTTTCAAATTAGCCCTTGTGTAGTTTTTTTGACAACTGCAGAGTGTCTAGTAAAAATTCAAAATCTTTTCTTAGAAAATTTGGATTTTAATTTTGTTTAATCCATTAGAAAGTAGACTCAAAGAGCTTTCCAACCATATAAACTTCAAATATTAAAACTTTGTGAATTAATATAGAAAAATAAAACAAATTCAATATTGGAAAACTTTGTTATTGTAAAATAGCTTTCTTAAGTTAATCTATTTCTCAAAACCAATATTATTAAAATTGTATTAAGTCCAAAATGAATAAGTTCACTTTAAAAACAACAATTGAACTTTCATTTAAGCTCAAATAAATAATCTTTAAAGATAGATTCGGTTTGAGAAATATGAAAACGAAGAAAAGTTTGTTTAAGCTTTGAAAATCATATTATTTATTTAGTACCAAAATATAAAACTTAAGAACATGTACTAAATAAATCTTTTTCAAAATCTTGATCAAGTTTATTTAGCTTTAATATTTTGTTATTCCAAAATAAGGATTAATTCAAGGCTAACATTTTAAATCCTTGTTAATTTTTGGAAATTAATAAATTAAAATTATTTTTTCTAATAAGGTTATATAAACAGAAATAGTTATTTTATGACAAAACAAATTATCATAATAATTTAAAATAGATAATAGCAAAACAAAAAATCATAATGATTTCAAAAGTTTTACTTATTAATTTTTGGATTATTTATTGTGACAAAATAAATGGTCATAATGGTTTGAAAGAGATAATTTAAACAATTGTTTTATGACAAAACAAAAGATAATAAAACAATTATTTTTATTCATACAAGCATATTCGAAATAAAATAATTTTAAGTTATTAATATTTTGCAAATTAATAAGTACAAGATTTAAAAGATAAATCTATTTCTGAACAAATTTAAATAATTGTAGTAATTTGAACAATAATCTATTTGAACTAATTATGACCTTTTTTTGTTATATATAATTATTTTCATGCATTCAAGCTTATTCAGAATAAAATAATATTAAATTATTAATGTTCTGAAAATTAATCCTTTAATCTATTTGAATTAATTATGACATTTTGTTTTGTCATATATAATTATTTCCATGTATACAAATTTATTTAGAATAAAATAATATTAATTTAGTAATGTTTTAAAAATTAATAGGTAAAAGATTTAATAACTCTATGAAAATGAGTTTTTTTTAGTACTTAAATGAGTTATTTTTACTTAGTTCTTAGCTAAATAAACTTTTTTTACTCTTAAAGTGCTTAGTTTTTTGTTTTGTAAGAAATCTTGAAAAAAAAATTGAATTTTGAAGAATCTTGATAGTTCTTGATCAATCTTGGGTGATTCTTAATACATTGAAATAAATCTTGGACTATTTTATAATGTTCTTAAAGTGAAAAGTGTGCAAGATTTATTTTTCCCAACTTAGAAAAGTTAGAATTGTTTAATCTTAGTGAAAGATTTAAAAAATTCATACAAGAAAGAAGCAAGGCATGTTCGGCCATGATGAAGGTAAATTTATAATTTCAAGAGTTCTAATTGAACGAAAGTTCTCCTAGAATGCTTTAAGAAGTTCAAGTCGCACCATACAAGAAGAGTTTCAAGATTATGCAATTTAAAGATTTTTTCTAGAAAGTTTGCAGACCTTAAACCAAAATAAGTTTTTGGTTTGCAAGATTTCAATTTTTTCTTCTTTTCTATTTATCCAGAAGTTGTTATATGTCAAGAAAAGAAGTTGCTAGAAGATATTTATCATATAGAAGACAAGATACAATCTAGAAGAGCTCTTATGAAGAGTTTTATTTCCAATAAACTCAAGAAGCATTCTTTCGCTCAAGATTTAAAGTCCAACTGAAATAAAAAGTCTGCCAAAGTGAGTTGGCTTCGGGTGGAGGGTTATCTAGCTTGGTGTTTTTAGGGTTTGACTAACGATATTTAGTAGAGCATTTTAGAGTTTCGGGTGTTAGTTTAGCAAGTTTCGTGGTTTAAGGTTTCAGTGAAGGTTTTTAGGTAGAGCAATTTTAGGGTTTTAGACGAGAGGTTAGTAGCTTTATTGTTTTTAGGGTTTCAATTTACAGTTTTATGGTGTTTCGATTTTAGAGTTTTGGGAAAGGTTAACAGATATGGTGTTTTAAAGGTTTCGACTGACAATTTTAGGGTGTAATGATTTTAGTATTTTAGATGTGGGGTTAGTTGGTTTGGAGACTTTAGAGTTTTTGGTGATGGTTTTGGGATGGTGTGATTTTAAGGTTTCAAGAAAGAGGTTAACGACTTTATTATTTTTATTGTTTTGGGTTACAGTTTTGGGGTGAAGTGGTTTAAAGTTTCAGTTGTGAGGCTTAGGGGGTTTGGTGTTTTGGGTTTTGGATGATGGTTTTGAGGTAGAACGATTCTAGGGTTTTTAAGTGGTTAGCATGTTTGTTGTTTTTAGTGTTTCGAATGGCAAATTTTTAGTGTAGTAATTTTAAGGATTCAAGTTTCAAGTTAGCGAGTTTAGAGTCTTTAGTGTTTTGGCATACGATTTGGGGTAGAAAGATATTAGGGTTTTGGGTGAAGGGTTAGCAAGTTTGGTGTTTTTAGGTTTTCAAGTGACGATTTTAAGGTGGAGCGATTTTTGGGTTTCGTGTGTTAGGTTAGCGGGTTGGTGGTTTAGGGTTTTAGGTGACAGTTTTGAGATGGAACGATTTTAGGGTTTTAGGTGATAGGTTATCGATTTTGATGTTTTTATGGTTTCGATTAGGCATTTTGGATGGAGTAGTTTTAGGGTTTCATTTTAGTATTCATGAGTTTTGTGTTTTTAGGGTTTCGGGTGATGGTTTTGAAATGAAGCTATTTTAGGGTAAAAGGTGGGAGGTTAGCAAGTTCGGTGTTTCTACGGATTCAGGTGCCAATTTTGAAGCTTGGTGATTTTAAGGTTTCTAGTTAGGGCTTAGCGGGTTTTCTATTTTAAAGGTTTAGGTTGGCCTTTTTTAGGGCGCAATAGTTTTAGTGTTTTGAGTGTGGGTTTAGTTGGTTTGGAAACTTTAAAGTTTCAAGTGACGGTTTTGGGGTAGGGTGGTTTTAGGGTTTTGGATGGGAGGTTAGAGGGTTTGGTGTTTTTTAAATTTTGAGTTATAGTTTTGGGGTGTATTGATTTTAGGGTTTCAGTTTGGGGTTAGCATATTTGGTGTTTTTTAGGTTTTGGGTGGTGGTTGTGATGTTCAATGGTTTTAAGATTTCTAGTGGTGGTTATCGAGTTTAGTGTCTTTAGGGTTTTGAAGATCAATTTAGAGGGTTTGGAGGTTTTATGGTTTCGGTTGTAGGTTTTGGATGGGGGTTAGCAAGTTGGTGTGTTTAGGGTTTCAGGTGACGATTTTGGTGTAGAGTGGTTTTAAGGTTTCGAATGTTGTTATTTTTAGGGATTTTGAGTTGTAGTTTTTTAGGCTTAACGATTTTAGAGTTTCGGGATGTTGATTACCAGATTTGGCAGTTTCATGATTTTTGGTTGTTGTTTTTAGGATGTAATAGCTTTATGGAATTGTGTGGCAATTTTGAGGTGGAACAATTTTAGGCTTTTCAAGTAAGGGGTTAGCATGTTTGTTGTTTTTAGGGTTAAGAGTGGCGGTTTTAAGATGGAGTGGCTTTAGGGTTTCAAGTGTTGCGAAGGGTTAATGGGTTTGGTGTTTTTAGACTTTTAAGTGGTAGTTCATGAGCTATCTCCTTGTATCTTGCTCAAACCAAGTATAGAACTGTCCACAAGGTTGCTATTTGTGGATAAGGATGAATTATATGATAGTAGCACTTGAAATCACACATTGTAAGGTGCCTTTGTAAGATAAAATCGAATGATGATTCTTCGGGTCAAACATATCAATACATGTCTGTTTCTATGGATTTTGCTCTCTCTACTATGGTTCTTATCAGAGCGTTGTTCCCTTTCCTTTCCATATATTGAGAGTCACTTTTAAAGTGCATAAACTAGCTGTGTAGTCAAAGTGCTAACATATTTTGGTGTAATTAATGATTGTGATGGACTGCTTGGGGATTGTCAAGCATTATAAAGTGGAGAGATTGTAAGGCCCCCAATCCCACATCAGGAGGATGTGTGGATAAGGAATTATATATATGTAGAGACTTAATCCTACACTTGTGATGTGTCTTTTGTAGAACAAAACCGTGAGACATTCGGGTCAAAACCTAAAAAATATTATTGAAAAACCTATCCATATTTAGATAAAGTTTTAAAAATTATTTTTATTTAGAAATATTAATTTTTATTTTTAAAAATAAATTTTAAAAACCACTTTATTATTTTATACTTTTTGGATAATAATAAAAAACAAATAATGCTTCCAGATTGCTGCGAAGTAATAATAAAAAATGATATTAGCATGAGCCTATGCTAAATGTTCAGTTTGACAAATATATGTGCAAGCTTGAGATGGTAATGATTTAACTCTAAAATAAAGTTTTAATCATCTCCATTTATATAAGCATTTGAGGGATCAATGCTAAAATTATTACCAAAAGAAGAATCCATTTTGAATTCAAACGAATTATATACTATATTAATTGATCAAATTCGAAGCAATTGTCCTCTCTTTCGATAACTGCCGGAAAACCTTGATTCTTTCTTTTCTGACACGGGTGACTCTAGCTGCAGTTCAGATCTCCCTCCCTCACCCACTGCTTACCATTTATGCTAGTTAGCCCAGAAATGGACTCATGATCCTTTAGGAAAGATAATGCAACAACACTCTACAGCATTGATGACTAAGTAGTTGTCCAACAAGACGATCATTAAATACCAGAAAAGAATATTATTACTGGTGTAGTTATCAAAACAAACTAGTTATAGGCAGAACCGTGAGAAAAAAAAAAAAAAAAAAAAAAGAAATAAGTTTAGACATCAGAATTTAAGTCAACAATGAAAAAGTCTTCCTTATTGCATTTCCCCTTTTGATAAGAACTTTTAAGGAACTTACAATATGGTTCAAGCTCAGGTTTGTACCTTTGAACTTTTTGCTAAAGCACGAGATTAACCACTCGCCTACACAAAACTTCTTAAAATTAAGCCATGTTCCTTGAGTAACCTCGATTTGGGAACAACCATGAACATCTATGCAGCTTCTCTCTCATTGCAAACATCTCACCTGACAAAGAACTCTGAGGCCTGGTAGATGTGACAACAATAAAGCCAATCTCTGATAATTTAGTTTAATTTTCCTCCTGACATGCCCAATCCACCTCATTGTTGCATATCGTCATGGTTACTAGTTCGACATATTTAAAATAGCAGCTTACCCTCTTTTCTGTTCACAACTGAAACGTATATGTTGAACATCTTCTATTCAAATCAAAATATAACATGCAGGAATAGCTGCTTATCGGAATCAATTGGGCTTGTTAAGCCAGCCTCGAACATGATGGAAGCGCAAAGCAGAAATAGCTGCTTATCGGAAACAAACTGAAATACCTGCGCCTAATAGCACCCCATATCCCTACTAAGTAATTCTTTCTGTTTTAGCATGAATCAGAAATTTCTTTTTCCTGTATTTCTACAATAAAACCATTTGAGAATGAATTCTGCCCCTTTGTCGGACAAGCTTTGTGTTGCTATAGAAATCTCTTTTTCCTGTATTCCTTCATTAAAACCATTTGATAACGAATTCTACCTATTAGTAGTGTTACTATGTGTTAGTTGAGTCTAAATATAACAAGCTATCCTTAGCACTCTATATGAAGAGTAGACTCAATCCTTCATGATTGTGAGATCATCCTAGGACCTCTTCAAGTGCCAAAATTTCATAACCCCCTTTGCCATCAATAATTCAGTATCACCAGTAGCCTCTGCAGGAGCAAGATCCACTCTTGAAATGATGGAAGCGACTCGAGTCCCTTAATATGATTTCATGATCAATGATCAAGGATATGTAAGTAAAGGCATTATGGCAATCACCACAGACACGCAAGTTCTTTGTGATACGGATAGGCACCCCAGGAGCTGAGACTAAAATGCCATAGGCTAGAGCTAACTTCTCACTATGTTCAAAAAGAAGATCGCCTTTCTCTTCGTCATCCACGTCATGAAGTGCAAAGTCCCTCTCAGGAACATACCCAATTACCTTAATGCGTTGAATCAAGTCAGCAAGAAGCTCATATATTTGTTCAAATTGTGGATGACACCTGTGACCCACATAGAAGGTTGCAGTGCCTTTCTTTCCTTGGACCCAACTACAACCTGGTCTCTTTTTGACCCCTGAATGTTTCATCAAAGATCGGATCCTGGCCACATCTCTCCAACGCCTGGCATTGGCATATATGTTTGAAAGCAATGTATATGACCCATCATTCTCCGAATCCAATTCCCGAAGCTGGTCCGCAGCATATTCCCCAAGTTCCACATTTCCATGGATCCTACAACCACTAAGTAATGCCACCCATACTATTGTTGTTGGCTCCATGGGCATGCGGTGAATAAGTTTCAGAGCATGACCAAATCGACCAGCACGGCCTAAGAGATCAACCATGCAAGCATAATGTTCCAACGCAGGGATGACACCGAACTCACTATGCATGTTGTTGAAGAATCTGATTCCCTGGTCAACCATTCCTGAATGGCTGCAGACATAGAGCATAACAAGAAAGGTAACACCATCAGGAACAAAACCTGCTGCTCTCATATCATCAAAAACCTTGATAGCTTCTTCACCACAGCCATGCATGCCATACCCAGTCAGTAAGGACGTCCAAGAAACTGAATTTCTCAGCTGCATATTGTCAAACACAACTCTAGCAGCATGTATATCACCAGATTTGGTATACATATCTATGAGGCAATTTTCCATAAACAACGGCACAAATTCATATCGATTGCGTAATACGTAAGCATGAATCTGTGTACCAAACCTTAGTGCAGCCAATTGAGCACAAGCCATCAAGGCACAACATATGGTAAAAGTATTCGGCTTCACAGACTTATCTTCTTGGAACATTTCAGAAAAAAGCTTCAGTGCATCATTGGCCTCTCCATGCTGCGCATATCCACCAATCATGACAGTCCAAGTCACAACATTCCTATGACTTGGTGCAATTGAATCAAACATGGAACGAGCCACATTTGTACTTTTGCACTTAGCATACATGTCAATGAGACCATTAATCACCATTAGATCTTCTCCTGGATCATTCCAATCATAGTTCAAAACACATTTGATGGCATAACAGTGAGTTTCCTTCCCTTGAACCAATGCTGCAATCGAAGCACAGCCTGAAAGGAGGGACACAAGTGTAACAACATTAGGTTTGGAACCACAAAGTTGCATTTGCCTGAACACATCCAACGCTTCATAACCATAACCCTTTTGGGCATAGCCTGCAATCACAGCACTCCAAGTCACAACATCCAACTCAATTTTCTCCTCCCTCATCTTTTGAAATAAACCCAGAGCCTCCTCAAACCTACCAACCTGAGAATACCCAGTAACCATTGCATTCCAAGAAACAACATCCTTCACCTTCATCCTCTCGAAAACCTTATTCGCCTCATCCATGATCCCACATTTTGCATACATATCCATCAAAGCATTACCAACAAAAACATCCACAAATAAACCTCTCCTCACTGCAAAACCATGCAACTGCTTACCAAGTAAAGACGCGCCCAGAGATGCACAGGCAGGTAGCACATTGACAAGGCTAACGACATCTGGGTGGATTTCCGAATCATAAGTCATTCTTTGAAACAACTCCACCGCATTCTTTGCATCCCTGCTTTGCGTATAAGCAGCCACAATGGAATTCCAAGAGACAATATCAAATATCCCTCTTTTATGCATTTCGTCGAACATCTTTCGCGAGTCATCCAACTCACCGCACCGTGCATACATTGATACCAGCGCATTACAGACAAAGACATTTGAGTCCAAACCGGAGGTAGAGATTACGGCATGAACAGCTGCTCCACGGCGGAAGGAGGGAAGCTCGCCGCAGGCCTTAAGGACAAAAGGGAAGGTGTAGTGATCAGGTGCACAGCCGAGCCTTAGCATCCTGCGGAAGAGAGAAAGAACGTCATGGGAAAAGCCGAGGCGAAGGGAGCGTCGAATAAGAGTGTTCCAGCAGAAGACCACAGAGTCAGAAGTGGTCAAGCGTTCGAGGATGGAGATGGAATGGGAAGGGGCGTTGTGAGTGAGGTAAGCGGAAATGAGGCGGGTATTGAAATGGTGGTAGAGGCCTTGGACAAGGAGTTGTTGGTGGATGAGTTTGGCTTGGAGAAGAGACTTGCATTTTTGGAGGAGAGTAGTAGTAATGGCGGTGACTGTGATTTGACTTTGAGCAACTGCTGAATAGAATAGGGAAATGATTATGGTGCCGCCGCCGCTGAGCCTGGAATTGGATTTCAGAACAAACTCTGATTTGGTGATAGCACGGGAAAAGGAGCGGAGCATGCTCTACTCAACTGGGTAGCGCCAAATTTCAAACTCCCATCTCATCTAAATGAAAATTACTCACACTGCCAAATTACAACTTAATATAATACGGAGTCCACGCTCTTTTATACTTAAAATAGTAAAACTTTACACTCCTTGAAATTTCAAACTCCCCAGCTTTTTTTTTTGGTTAAATTATCCAACTCCTCATTTAAAAGTTCAAATTGTGCTTTAAAACTTAATAATATATAATAATTCATAAAAATATAATTTTTATATTATTTTAATTTGATAATTTTAATTCAATTATTAATTTTATTAAATTTTTATCATTAAAATGTCAATGTAATCATTAGCTTGACAATATAGACGTTAATTGTATCGAAATAGTTTTAATTTTGTTGATATAAAATTATTTTTGTTAATGTGATAATACTTTAATAAATAAAATTAATTGTGAAATTGTGCTAATAATTTTTGTACTTGTAAAAAAATTTAAATTTTTATCTATTTAATATAATTTATAAAAATTTCATTCGCAAATAAATTAAATTTAATAATTTTGGTTCAATTATTTATACCATTAATTATTTTCTTTCATTTTTAATGATGTAACGTTATTTTTGAAATAAAAATTAGAAAAATAAAAACTTTATAATTTTTTAAAATTTGAAAATTAAAAAAACTCAAAAAATAAAAAAAATGATGTTTTATGCTTTTTTATATTTTTTAAAAAATTAAATTTTTTAAAAATATTTTAATTTAAAAAATTTTAACCAAAAAATTCTAAAATTATTTTTCATGATATTTTACCTTTTGATATTGGCAATAACATCCATTTTATAAAACAAATTTTATTTTTAGTTTCTTTTTATACTGTATTTAGTAAAACGAATTAATTTTTTTAGTTTCTTTTTATACCGTATTTAATGTAATAAATTATTTAATTTTGTTATCTATATTTTTTTTAATATTTTATTACATGAAATTAAAACTATGAACCTTCATCGTAATTATAACCTTAACAAACATTATGACTTATGAAATAATTATTTGAGTTTATTTGGATGAGCTTAATGACAAAATTTTGAAAAAACATTATTTTTTTAGTTTTTGCAAGTGGATAATATTTATCTATTTTTAAAAAAATTTTAAGAGCATTAATTGCTTATTCATATTTTAAAAAATAAATAAAAAATTTATTTGTTAGTGATTAAATTGTAAATTTTTAAAATTAAGTAATCAAATTAAATTTTTTTAAAAATTAAGTGATCAAAATGTAATTCATTTTTATTTTTTATTTTTTTCCAAAATTTATAATATCACATTTATGACTTATCAGATAACTCATGATACCTAGCACCCTCAAATATGACCACATTTTCAAAGATTGATAATTAGATAAGGCAATCTAACTCGAATTCGACGAGTTTCAGTACAACCCAATCTTTTAAGATCAATTTTTTTTTTTAAATCAAGTATCAGGTTGAGTCAAGTCGAATTATATAAAAAAAAAAAATTCAAAGTGAAATCGAGGATTTAGATAAACCCAACCCTAACCAAACCCGATATATAAAAAAAAATTTTTAATTATTTATTTAATTTCATAGTTATATATATTTAATTTTATATTTATATTAAAAAATAATATTTTATATTTAAAAAATAAATATTTTATTAATTTCAAATCGAGTTGGATTGAATACAGTTATATAATGTCGAATCGAGTTGAATTCAAATATAAAAATAAAAAATAAAAATCATCGGGTCAAGTCGAATTCAAGTTTTATATATATATATATATATATATATATATATATATATATAAATATATATATATAAAATCGGATCAGATTCGAGCAAGCAAAAATATGCCTTGACCCGAACCATTGCCATCACTACTGATAATGGCTCTAAACAATTGGCTACTACTCGAGTTTTGGGCATTGTAAGGTTTCAAGATAGGTTATGCAGACGGGGCTGAAACTTTCAAACCTTTACTAAAATTAACTGAACACGTTGGAGTCTACTGATCTGTTCCCAGTTGAGTCGCATTACAACTGCTATACTCCTACATCATTACAAACCAATTTTCACATAAACAACATTGAATGTTGATAAACCACATGATATATCATAGTAGCTCCACTTTAACATACACATGATATTCAATGAAGGAAATGTTACAATAACTTACAATGTAAACTTGATCGTACTACAGGCAGGGAATTGGTATAGATTCCATGATCACTTAACACCTCTTCCTCTAATGGATTAAAAATTTTACACAAGATGCTACTTTTTTTTTGTAAAATGGTACGTTTTTATTCTCATTTTCATTTTCTTCTATTTGTCCGTTCAACTATGGAACCAAAAGCTATGTCGTTATGCAAGAAGATAAATGCACCTATCAATGAATGCTGTTTTTACAAATAACACATATTTTAGCACATCACAGCAATAGTTGTGGGAAAAATGCTATAAGCTCATCGCTCTTGATGAAACCTCCGATTCACCTTCTTGCAGCTTTACTTCTACTGATGGAAAGTTTTCCTAAAAACAAGTACAAGCACAATTGTGTTTACCACATATTGTCTTAATAATGAAAAACTGGTTCATAAGTGACTTGACGCCAAAGCAGCGACAGCAAATTATGTCAGGACTTTCTATATGAATTATTTTTGTCCCTTGGGCAAAGATGCTTTTTCCCACATCGTATAAACTACTATAAGAGCATCTTGGGCAAAGGTTGTGTGGCTTCCCAGCATACTGATATATGATAAAACGAGGTAGATAGGATGCAAAAATCCAACTAAATACAGACTTATCTATATGCTAAAACATACCACGGAATCCTTCAACTGGGCTTTCGCAAAGTAATGCTCCAAAGCACCATCTCCATGAAGAATCTTTGCTCCACATCCAGGGATATTTGTTGAACCCACTGACTCCTCATCAACCACAACAGCATCTACTCTACTGTGTCCAGTCTTTGCATCTGGAATCTGAAACATACAAGCGTCAGATGCTTCAGACCATGAAGCTTTTGATTTCATAAGGATACATCCATGCCAAAGTCATATGCTTGATCCAAATTCACTCAAAACTTGAGGGCCTCAAATACCTCATACATGGCTTCAGTAAGAATGCTTTCCAGTATAGCTCTTAAACCCCTGGCACCAGTATTCTTAGCCATTGCCTTTTTAGCAATTAGTCTCAATGCTTTAGATGTAAAATGTAGCTTCACCTGAAATTAGATAAGTGATGATGTTAAAGTAAGAGATCTAATTCAAATTAACATTTATCATGTAGAAAGCATAAGAACAGAAAGAACTTGAACAGGCAGAGACAACTTACATTGTTCATGCTAAATAACTTCTTGTACTGTTTTCCAAGAGCATTTTTTGGTTCTGTGAGCACCTGTATCACAAATTTTCTCTACTAGTAAATATAGAAGGAAAAATATAGATTAATTCACTGTTGTTAGTAGTTTCACTCTGAAGCTCAGTTTAATCAACTGATACAGAAGCTAATTGAAGAGTTAACATCCTTAAAATTATATTTTTAATTTGTTGCATTCTGGGAATTTGTAAATTTTAAGATTTAGAGTTATATTTGGTATTTTAGCTTTGCATTACAGTTTAGGATCTTAGTATGGATTTTTCTTATCCTGTTAGTTTTTGACTATAGATAACTTTGCATGTTTTGAGTCCAAGTACATACTTGTTAGGAGTCTACATAAATCAATGTACTCTTTTTGTTGAGTATAGATTATTATGAGAAAATTTTTACTATTACTGCGATTGTGCATGACTTGTTGATGCAATTAACCATACTAAGGAAGCCTAGGTGAATCTTAGAGAGATTGCACCAATCAACCTTAGGTGTGATTCCTAAGGAAGTCTAGTGAAGCTTAGGGATCTTTTCTCTTCTTCTCTTTTATTTATTCAAAATTCCATATTTCCTTAATAAATCCAGATTTAAAAATAGATATCCTACATCAGTTTGGTATCAAAGGCAAAGCCATCAACAACTTCGAATTTGTGCGGATGGTTTCAAAATCTGTTTAGAAATAATAATAATAATAATAATGAAAAGGATCCATACTCCTGTGCTTCAGATCCTTACAAACTTCATCTGACAAATCTGTTAGTGTATGTGTTTGTGTGAGTTGGAATATTATGGGAATATTCGATAGGAGATGGTTTAGGCAGGATTAATTACGAGCAGTAATGGGTAATCTGTAATTGATTCTCTTTCCTTGGTATTGTCTATATAATGAAAGGCTAATCTAAGGGATTAGCAAGTTGTTCTCCAAAACCTTAATTCTCGCTTGGTATCAGAGCCAACAGCACAACCCTAGCTGCTGCCACCTCTCTCTCTCTCTCTCTCTCTCTCTCTCTCTCTCTCTCTCTCTCTTCCCCAAACCCCTCTATGATAGCCACTGCACCGTCACCCAAGCCGTCGCTACTGCAGACTTTGATCTTGCAGCCCTAAAGTTGCATATTTAAAGCCTTTCCTTCCTCTTTAGCAGTCCCTCATCAGTTGAAAGGAGGCCACCCCCTTATTCTTAAAGGCAGTAAAAAGAAGGGGTTGCATCCTTTTCGTGAATGATAGATTGAGGGAGACAAGTTCTTCCCGGTATGGAGCGTGGCTGCAGAACTAGGGACCAAGTTCCTGGTAGTTAATTAGGAGTTGTGTTCCCCAGTTGAAGGATTACCGGTTGTGTTCTGGAGGAAGAAGATTTTGTGGCCACGGCCAAGAAAGAGGTAACCGCATAGAAGGTGATAACTCATTAGATTATCGCAGGCTCATGTTTGTCAGATGAGAAACTTGATGACTCCAACTACTTGTCTTGGAGCAAGACTGTATTGGTGACCCTGCGAGGTCTTGGAAAGGCTCAGTTTTTGACATGTGAGCCACCAACAAAGGAAAGCTCGAAGTATGTAGCGTGGGAGCAAAAGAACAATTGAGTACTTAAGACAACTGTTCAACTCGATGGAACGACAAGTCAAGGTGATGTTCAATCAATACCTCACAAGTAAGGAACTTTGGAATGCTTTAAAATTTGTTTATGCAAATTATGAGAATTGGCAGAGGATCTCAAATGTTACCAAGGCATGGACTAGAATGGAGTAGTCCGATATGAGCCTAAGGGAATATTTTGCTATGTTCAAAGAGGTCTATGACGAATTTAATGAACTCATGCCCTTGTCAACTAATCTGAAGACAAACCAGGAGCAATGAGAGACTCTAGCTGTAGTGTTTTTCTTAGCAAGATTGATGAAGGAGTACACCAGTGCTAGTACTCAAATTTTAGCAGGCAGAGATCCCCTTTCTCTACTGAATGCTTATAAGTGCCTGCGCAGGGTCACCCAGCATGATCCTCTCAGGAAGACAGGGCAGTATTTGTAGCCCCGCACCATGAAGGGCGAGCACCACGTGGAGGACGTGGCAGATGAGGTAGAATACGTGGAGGTGGTAGAGAAGACCCACAGTCCTGCTATCGTTGTGGACAGCAGGAACACTTACAGAATGTTTCTCTGCACCTTCTGGGCAATTTTGGCCGACCAGCTACATATGTGACTGAAGCGGCGCTTCAACCCAGCAGCAAGAGGAGAAGGAAGTTTAGTTATCCCAGGATGAGTATGATAGGCTTATTCAGATGCTTCAGAATCAGATTTCGATTTCCTCTCCGACAGCAACTTTTATACAAGATAAATCTACCGCATGCCTGGCTAACCCCTCCAGAACTTGGGTGATTGATTCAGGAGCTTCGGATCACGTAACAAGTACTACAAGTACTCTTTATTCATATACCCCTATAACAAGGAAACAGTCTGTTTTGGTTGTTGATGGAAAATCTATAGATATTGTGGTAAGTGGCAAGGCTCGACCTATATCTACATTACCTTTACATTCTGTGCTGCATGTCCCCCCTTCTCCTTTTAACTTACTTTCAGTCAATCAGATTACAAGAAATTTGAATTGTAGTGTCTCATTTTTTCCTACTTATTGTGTTTTTCAGGATGTATTGACGAAATAGACTATTAGGAGAGGAAGGATTGAAGGTCTTTATGTGCTTAAAGACATACAGAAGATATAGCCTGGACTAATGGCATACTCAGGAGAATTCTCATCAACTTATAAGTCTTATTGTCGTTTTGGTCATCCATCCATGTCAACTTTATGAGCTATGTGTCCCCATTTATCGATTTTTAGTTTTGATTGTGAATCGTGCAAGTTTGCCAAACTGCATAGAGCATGCTATAGAGCTCGATTTAATAAAAGAGAAAAGTTCCCTTTTGCTGATGTATGTCAGCCTTGCCCTATTATTTCGAAATCTGGTTATAGATACTTTGTGAAATTTTTTGATGATTATTCACGAGTTTGTTGGTTGTATTTGTTGTGGAGCTGCTTCGAATTATTCTCTATCTTCATTACCTATCATGTAGAAATAGAAAATCAATTCGGTAAATCTATCACAATTTTACGAAGTGATAATGAGAGTTTTTCTACAGAATTAGTCAATTCTTGACAGCTCCCAAAGATACTCACTGGAGGGCAGCAATGCTCACCTCCAATATTTGTCAAGAAATCCTGGAAAGGGGATACTCTACAGTTCTACTAGTGAAGGGAGTATTCAAGCCTATGCAAATTGGGCAGGCTCTCACATAGATAGGAAGTCTACATCTAGTTATGCTATCTTCCCTGGGAGTAATCCGGTGTCCTGGAAGAGCAAGAAGTAGCAAGTAGTTGCTAGGTCTAGCGCAGAAAAAGAGTATAGAGCCATGGCTTTGGCTACAACAGAGTTATTGTGGATGGTTCAATTCTTAGATGAAATTGGGCTTTCGATTCAGACTCCTACAAAGCTATGGTATGATAATCAGGCAGCAATTCATATTGCTACCAATCCAGTATTTCATGAAAGAACCACACATATATAAGTTGATTGTCATTTCATCAGGGAAAAGTTGCAGAGTGGAACAATATTATCGAAGCATACATGCACAGGGAAACAACTAGCCGGTATTCTTACAAAATCACTTCCAAAAGTTCGAGTTGACTACATATATAACAAGCTAAGCATGACTGATATATATGCTCAAGCTTGAGGGGGAGTGTTAATGCATGCATGTGAGTGTGTGAGTTGGAGTATTATGGGAATATTCCATGGGAGATAGTTTAGGAGGGAGCAATAATGTATAATTTGTAATTAATTCTCTTTCCTTAGTATTATCTATGTAATGAAAGGCTAATCCAAGGGATAAGCAAGTTGTTCTCCAAAACCTTAATTCTAACATTATCAACAACAATTATTACACTACAATTAACAACCAATCACAATGAATTGTGTAAGATCCATCAAAATTTTGTACGAAGCCCACACGTATAAGTGGTTGACCCTTAAATAATTCTTTATTATAATTGGATAATTGCAATATTTCAATAAAAGGAATTATAGGTGAAATACTCCCAAACTTTTCCCTTGCTAAGTTCGCCCTGCTTATTCTAATTTTGAGGTATCTAAAGGTTAATTTCTAAGATCAGTAGTGAAATCTTATATTTTGAGATACGTATTTGTGATGAGTTGCTTCACTTGAAAGATAAAAACGAAGGTCAGAATCTTCCTTCTTCAACTTCTAATAAGTATCTTTTACCTCAATATATATATATCCAACGAGGAGAAACTATTGATACAAAAAAATATGGCTTCATGATCTGATTAATGCTCTTCGAATTTTTTGCAAAGTAACTTTTAGGAAGTAGAGAAAGGTGATTCAAAAGGTTTTAAGAACAAAAGAAACAGCCCCACTAGTTGTTGACATCCTTGAGGCGAAAAAGAATAATGCCACTGTAAAATCAAAGGTGGGAAAGAGGTGCAACATGATCATTTGCCTGAATAATTACAAAAAGGTTTTGAAACTGAAGAGGTTTGGTGTGTCTAAAAGGTGGACTCAAAAATTTGGAAACTGAACTTGTGTTGGTCCAAGCAAAGAGTAGTTTATTAAGGAGTTGCCTAATGAAGATCTCATTGACTTTTTGGTTATCTATGAAGCACAATACGCCTCAACCTTGTGTATCAATGTGTCCATTCATATCAGATGCTCATACAAAAAAAAAAAAAGACAGCCTAGTGCATAAAGCTCCCGCTATGGACGGGGCCCAAGGAAGGGTCCATTGTACGTAATCTTTCCTTGCATTTTTGCAAGAGGCTGTTTCCACAACTCGAACCTATGACCACCAGGTCACATAGCAGCAACCTTACCAATTGACAAAAAATAAATAAAACTTTTTATTCAGACACTTCTTGGACATGGCTATCAGCACTTGAAATTCAAAACAAAAGAGAGAGAGAGAGAGAGAGGATGACACTGCTTCTGATTAAGTGGGTTAGTGGTGGCATCATTTTGACTCGAAATTTTGTGATCACCAAAGAAATAGCATAAAGGGAGAGAAGTAAGGTTGGCTTGGGTGCCTTTTTATCCATGACTACTTAGCTCAAATAATTTTGATTTAAGCTTAGATCAGAGAAGATAAGAGAGGAAATGATAGTGAGTGATGGTTTGAAAGAGAAAAAGAGCAAGGTAATGGAGAAATCAGTGGCTTTGCAAAGGAGCTTGGCCTCTCATTTTAAATGTTTTGAAAGTGATCTTGTCTAATTCGGTAATCCGATTTTCCATTTATTCTCCTTTCCTCTAGGCTCCTATTCAATTAAAATTCACTTGTTACGAGATTGTCTTTTTGTTACCACTTTCTCTCAACTGCTTTCCTTTACATTGAATAATGGAAAGAAGATTTAATAATTTTCTATTCATCTCCTTCCTCTTTTCTTTTTCCATTTTGTTCATTTTCTTAGTGACAAAGTATTTTCAGCCGCACATGGTGTGTAGGCTAGTTTTGTAAAGAGTCCAAAATAATGCTTTAGACACTTCAAATAATTTAACAACACAAAAATATTAAGTTAATATATCTATGAAAAGGTGGTATAATCAATGAGTAATATGAATGCATATTGGTGAGCAATATGCCACCACACAATGGTAAAACTAAGGCTAAAATACTAAAAAACCCTTGTACGTCTTCAAATTTCATAGATAAGCCCCTTTTACTTTTATAGTACCCAATTAAACCCTTAACATAGAGTACTATTTTCGTCTAGTTAAACCCCTATTTGTCTAACAAATTTTAGTGGTTTCCATCCAAAATAAGAGCTTGATTAAACAAAAGCAATACTTTAATTGATTGGATACAATAGAAAGATAAGGGCTTATTTGAGAAATTTGAAAAGGTATAGGAGACTTTTTAGTATTTTAGTCTAAAACTATAAACTAATAGTAATATAGTACACTAAAAAACATCTACCACAACTATAGTTGAAGCAAATCAAATTATAGAATACTACTAAATTAAATTTGGATCCTTGCACTGTTCATAAAACAGTGCTTCCCTCTAACAGATGCACCCTTTTTTTATGGAATTTTTTATTCTAAGTTTTTCTAGGCTAGCCCCACTCTTATATTGAGTTTTACTTATCCAAGTCTCTTGGCTTATTTTGTCTCACTTCCAACACAACAATTATGGTTCTTTCAGGGCTAAAATACTAAAAAGTATCCTTGTAGTATTGCACCTAATTAAACCCTTAAAGTACTATTTTTATCTAATTAAGCCCTTAAAACAATATTTTTGTTTAAAGCCTTTCTTTAGTATGAAAACTGTCAAAATACTTAATTCATGTTACATCAAATTGATCATTTTCTTTACCACATCAACATCTACATGGCAAATATAGGGGAAAAAGGATTTTAAAAACACTAAGTCAAAATGCTATGGAAGCCCATGCTACTGCCATAGAGTACCATTTTAAAGGATTAATCAAACAAAAATAATACTATATGGGATCAATTTGGTACAATAGAAAGATAAGGGCTTACTTGAGAAATTTGAGAAATTATTTTTTTAGTATTTTAGCTATTTTTTAAAGTCAAAGAGGACTATAGGTGTGTTTGATAAACTATTGAAAATTTTCAATGTGTTTGATAATTTGTTTTGAAAACCACTTAAATAAAAAAATTTACAATGAAAAAGTGATGAAAATCTAAAGTAATTAAAAGCAACTTAATGAATTCAATCATTCTTATTTAAGGAAAATTTTGTCATTTAAACCTTATATTCTTTTCTTTTTAAAATTTTATTAATGTAAACTACTTATTAAAAATTTAACAAAATATGCATTCAATATTTAATTTTCAGTAAAAAACCAAAAATTCTAAATGGTAACAATTCAGTGCTTAATTTTTAAGTGTTTAATTTTTCCATTTTATCAAATAGCACCTTGGATGTATTATGTTGTGGATTATTAGCCTATACGCTGCCAATGAAGTTTTTAAACTCTTTAAGTGATGTTAGAAAGTTGTCACATGTTATTGAGTTTGAGACATTTATTACGTTTAAACCAATTTAAGTTGTGTGTATAAAGTTAAAAAAAAAAATAATAGTAAGGCTTCTAGGATTTTTTTTATCTTTTTATGAAACAAAGGCTTCTTTAATATTTTATTAGAATAGTTTTATTAGTTTCTAATATAATACATATATGATGAGGAATATTCTTGATAAAAATATTTTCTCTTAGGAAATAATTGATTTAAAGAATTTGTCTTATCAACCAAACAAGACTTAAATGACTATGATTGGCCTATATGATTAACATTATTTAGATAAATTCCTCAAAAAAGAAACATAATTTAGTAAATTGTTTTATGACGTATGTAATTTTCTCAACTAATGAATCACATTTTTTTGAGGAAATTTTGAAAAATAAGATTCACATAGATGCACAATATTCTACAATATATACTGATAATATTACTTTATATCACTTACAAAATCAAATAATTATAGGAAAATAATGATGTCAAATATTTAAGTTGAAATTTTAAAAAATAAATTTAGTACAAGATTTAATACCAGCATGTTCCTTTATTTGCAGAAGACTACAACATGTGGGTAAAAATTGCCTGTTCCAGCTACCATATAAATCATAATACCCCTCCCCCCTACCGTGCAAATGAAAACGTATCCTTGATCTTCACTCAAGAATTACAAGTGTAAGTAATAGTTTTTGCTGCATTAAATGAAAAGGCATCTTGCATAACAGGAAGGAATTCAAGCAAAGACTGAAGCACAAAGACCACCTTTTTCATGCTTTAAACTTCAATAATTTTCAATAATTAAATCTTAACTCAACTAAGGTGTAATCCCAAACCAGTTGGGTTCCACTAAAGGAATCCATTTTCTCCATTCCCCTTAGTTCAGGGCTATATCCTCCAAAGATTTAAAGCAACGTGAAATCCTTTTTATGACTTTTACCCAGTAACTTTGGTCTACCCCTTACATGTTCTATTCCTTCTAATTGGAGAAAAACACTTTTGTGTAACAGTGATCCTAGGCCAATAATGCACATGATCCAATCATGTATATCATACTTCCCTTAGGTTTTCAAGTGGTAGAAAATCTAACGAATCAATTCCTGATATTTGAAGTGCCTTGCATTTCCTTATCATGAATGATTCATACATTGCATTTTACCATTTTCATTATCTTTCAATAAACAATCAAAGAAGAACATAACAACAATTTAATGCTTAGAGCTAGCACAATGGTCCCTACCAGATACCTAAAAAGACTAAACTGAGTAACAGGAAAACAAGTGCACACGCCCGCACATATGTACACCAAAGGAAAAAATTGATGAAATGTTACCTTCACAAGTTGATCCTCAGTTAAAGCTGACAAGCTAACTAATATTGGAAAGCGTCCTATAAACTCTGGTATGAGGCCATATGCAATAAGATCTGAACTCTCAACCTGAAACGCAAATGTAACTTACAGGTTCATATCAGTGAAAACTTTAGTAATGGCTGTCCTTTATAGGGAGAGCAGTTCAATACATAAATCATATTACATTTATTTAGGTTGTCTTATTATTAGAAAGAAAGTAGGTAATAAAATTTATTAGTAACTTCTAACAGTCTTTATTCTCACCGATTCAAGCAAAGACGATGCCACAGCAGCATTGGTTACACCTGTGGCCCTCATATTAGCACGAACAGGAGCTCCAAAACCAATTGAAGAATCTTGTCGTCTGGTTACACCACCAGGTAATTATACTCACTCAAAAATGAACAAATAACATTTCACAGAGAATTTTTTATGGTAAGGTATTGATATGGCTTTACCTCTCTGAAATTGTTTTGTCAAGATCAACAAATGCTCCACCACAAATGAAAAGGATGTCTTTTGTATCTATCTGCAGATTATTTACATAGCATTTAAGAGTAGTAGCAACAATTAACTATTCTAAAATAATAGTTGGTCTAAAATGAAACCAGATATTCCTCAATTCAAACTGAAATCTTTTCAAGAAAGAAAATACCAAATGAAAAATAAAATGACATACTTTAAAATTCAAAAGAGTGGAAAAGGTAAACAATAGTTGTAGTGCACGTATTTCATAGACATTTTTATAGACACATAATTCATGAACATATCTTCAAAAACAGCAAGAAAAAGAAACCTAAACAAAAAGCTAAAGTGGACAACAGAAGAACACAAAAATGCCAACAAAAGCAATTTCAGATGTAGTTGCCACCATCTTTTTGTTTTTGTTTCTTATAAACTACTTACAAAACTGTATAAGTTTTCATGCAAAATCCAGAAAACATAATAATCACATTTCATACCTAAAATTTTCCTATGAAAAGGTTAACAAGTATAATTTTCCCTTATGTTATATGAAATTCTCTTTTTCTTTTTTTTTTTTTTTAAAAAGGCATTTGTTTACTTGGAGTAGGGATGAAAAACATTTTGGATTTTAAGAGGTAGAACACAAAACTAGACAAAATCTGTTGGAAAATTTTGAGTCAAATTTATCGAAACTCTTAAATTTAAAAAAAAAAATACTTATATTCTATTTAAATTCTATTGTTAAGAATTTACAAGGTGATTAACTGCACAGCAAATATTCTTCATACAGGAGAATTCTTTAAGGTAAAAGATTTTTAGTGCATATGCACACAATTCTATAAATATAAAGAGGGCCTTCATTTATCAGGAATTATGGAGAGATGAATTTTTAGGAAGGATTGCAAAGATGTATGAGGACTGAAGAAAACAGTTTACAAAGAGTTATACGGAATAAGATTTATCCAATAGGTTTTGACACTACGGAGCATGGAAATAAGGATAATTTCAAGGCACATGTTTCAATGCTTTGAACTTTTGTAAATTCTCCACTATTTCAAATTCACAATGGATTTTCTATCATCCATGAAATAAACAAAACCATATTGAACAATATTCGATATTCAACACGTGTTCATAATCAATTATTTTATGTGTGAGCAATTTATTTTTTTATTGATTTGATATTGTATGAGCTGCTTAAAATGCCAACAATTTGTATCAAAATTAATGGTTTGGAAGGGGATTTGCTGCAGCGGGTTGTATCTTTGAGATTGAAGGATACACGATCAGAGCATCACTGCAACAAGATTTAAATTGTAGGTAGATCAATCCTCAATTGACCTATTGATGCTTCAATAAATTTTGATTCTGGAGATGACAGTTTTCAAAAATCTCAACATAACATGAAAACTTAGGCAAGGTGCAGATATTCAATTAAGATGGGGGAAAAGAACAGCACACCAAATACCTCAAAGATCTCATCACTAGTTTAAAAACATCTCTTCTAGCAGTATAATACTTGGCAATCTTCTTGTCATATTATACTCAGATATTTTACAAATTCACAGGTAAAAAATTCAAGTGATATGACATGCCTTGAAATCATATGGAATATGATATTCCTAAGCTACAAAAGTTGCACATAGCTAGGTGGTTATAAAGCAGTGTGAATTCTTTGTCTTAAGGGGGAGATTCATTGAAGAAAGAAAATTCTAATGGTTTATCTTTAAGTTTAAAAGAAAGAAGAAAGGAGAAGCAAGGTTCCTATCCAAATTCAATATATTATTTTTAAGCCACAAAATTTGCACATAGCTAGGTGATTCTCAAGGAGAGTGGATGCTTTATCTAATTGGGAGATTTAATGAAGAAAGAACATTTTAATGCTGCATCTTTAGGTGTAGAAGAAAGAAGAAAGGAGGTGCAGGGTTCCTGTCCAAAATCCTTTTTGTATATAAAATTAATTCCTCTCCAAAGTCAATGGTAGTTTCATGTGGACATTGACCGTCTTATTTGAATTTAGTAGAGTCAAGACATATATGAGTTCAAGAATGATTATATGGCATTTCTTCAAGGTCAATGATTCTGTTTGTCAGAATCTACAAACAGCTGACTTGATGGAGTTTGAATCAAAGCGGGATTATTGCAATTCTTGTATAAAAAATTTGTTAGTTCAAAATATATTTGGTGGTTAAGGGCATATGATGGACAAGACAAATATTATTAGTCATCAAGAATACTTGTACTAAGCACATGGCTCTATAAACATGGAAAGAGTCTCAACCATTAGGAGTTATTAGATATATAAGTTTTTATAAGGGTTTCACAGGTCTGTAGAGATAGGAGAGGACAAACACCAAGTTACATGGTTTAGGTTATGGAAATGAAAACATAGATTATTTTGGGCTTTGGTTTTCGTACCCTTCTAATTTCTTTATAATAAGTATAGTAGTTGTTCACTTTCATCAGTGGACATAGGCAAAAAGGGTGTCACATCGTGTTAAATATTTTTCTTGTGCCACATAATCTATCTATTCTTTTAATTTCATGCTGGATTCAGTTCCAGTAAAAAACCTAACACATTCCAACTAACTTTTACCTTGATATAAACATTTTCAAAATTAGATGTTTTTGGTGTTAAGTGTAAGAAAACTTGAAAAACGTCTGTTCTTTTAAACATATCATTCAGGCTTGTGGAGGACATATTGTGGAGCTCTTACCATTTTCAAAGACTCAATTCCTTGCAAGAAACTTGAAGAATTTTACAACAATAGCCAAAACAAGGATATCTGCACTATGAATTTAATTTGTTTTTATGTCAAGAGAAAAAAAAAACACTTGATAGTGCTATAAAGATTTTGAAGCATATAGCTTTCCTTTGGGCATTGACTGCTTGAAATAATGTTACGAGATTTAATTTTTCAAGGGCTTAAAGTTAAATGCATTATCAAGGAAAGGAACCATCCAAAATGCATAAGAAAAACCCTAAAAGAAATTTAGGCCATTATATGCTGAAAGTCACTCCAATACAGCAGAGAAAATACCATACAGTTGCTGACATGAAAAGCAAACAATAGGTTGTAGATATACAACATAGATATATTCATCATATGGGCTCATTTGTGAATGAGATAATAAATCAAAAGAATACCTGTATATTGTCACCCCGAGGATGCTTTCTTGCTCCCTTTTCAGGAACATTTACAATCTGGCCAAAGAAATATTTATCAACTGTGAGGTAGCTAGAAAGGATACTGCTGGAAACCTAAAATAGGTTGAAGGCAAACTAGGTAGGAAGAAAGAGGCAAAGCAACAAATATTTGACATTTTTGTAGATTATATCATGTTACAACCCAAATGTGACTTCCATATACACATTTCATTCATAAAACAAATTCTTCCATAGACTAATAAGTTGATGCAATGAAAGGTTCTCAAGTGGAAGTAGATTTTTATACAAAATCAATATGAATTTAGGCTTATAGGATTTCCAAAAGTGATAGGATTTAATAAGTTACAGTTCCTGACATCTACATTAGTCTGCTATAAATAAAGTTTGAAAGCAATAGTTGATTTTATTATCCTCTCAGAGATTCACTTATTTTGGCTTTATTTCAAACAATTTCTTCTCCAGATTAAACCTCTTCTAAACACGATTCTTAATTAAGCCTGCCACAGTACACAAAAGTAAAACCGTTATACATCAGCTGATAGACTAGCTCAAAAGGATATCTTTCACCTGATATTTTGTTTTCAGAAAAATATGGCTCCTCTTTCTCTGCATATAGCTCAGAAATTAGAAGTATAACCAGTATCCCCAGTTGTTCACTCAAACCCTAGATAATTCTTAAACTAGCTAACAATGAATATTGGAGAGAACCTCAGAACCCGGACAACCACTTAAGTGCTTTTGTTGGAAGGGCATTCTATGGATATTGGTAATTATAAAAGTTACTAAAAGTGAGCCAGAAAAAAATTTCTGGCACAAGCATTCTCAAATTAAAAATAAGAAACATGATGGCAGCACATAACATGTATAAACTAATAAATGACATAGTAGTCTGCAACCAATGAACTCACAGTTCCTTCCAACATTTTCAACAATGCTTGCTGAACACCCTCCCCTGAAACATCTCTGCTAATGTTTAAGCTCTCAGCCTGCAAAAGTACTTCGACATTTAAGAATATTTTAGGTCCAAAATAAATCCTAGATTAAACCACCAAACCAACAATTTGAGTTGCTCTATTTAAAAAGAAAGGGTAAAAGAGTGCTAAATAATTGCAGAACCTTCTTAGTTATCTTGTCAACTTCATCAATGTAAACCATTCCTTGTTGAGCAGACTGTACATTGAACTCGGCGACCTACATGTACATCTAAAATCAAATATATATATGACTGCTGACATATGAAAACATAACCTATATATTTATATAACATATATACGTGCGCGAAATAAAAATTAACTACATAGATGAATAAATAAGTAAAAATTAAATATATATATATATATATGTCCATGAAACCAGAAATCAGCGACACATGCATGTTATTGGTGACTGCCAGAGACATCTGGGAGGCAATCCAACAAACTTACTCCAAGGCCAAAGACACAGCACAAGTCTATGAGATAAAAATCTATACCTCAGCCACTAAGCAAGCGAAAAAGTCAGCCATAGAATATGCTAGCCTCCTGAAAAACCTATGGAAAGAGATGGATCACTACCGCTGCATAGAGATGAAGTGTAGTGAAGATAAGGTAATCTTGAAGAACTTCATTGAGAAGGATTGTGTTTAGGATTTTCTAGAGGATCTCAAAGCTGAATTCAATCAAATTAGAGTCCGAATTTTGGGAAAAGAGGATCTGCTAACATTAAATGAGGTCATTTCCATGATAAGAGCAGAAGAAAGCAGAAGGGGCATGATGTCCGAGCCTCTCAAGTCATAGACAGTTCAGCAATGGCTGTGAGTGGTGGCAGTAGCAACAACAACAACAATAACAACAACAAAGTTTCATATCCCAAGCCACAACAAATCAGTGAGACTAGAATAGTAAACCTGTCCAAAGCTCTGAATCATGATAACTGGAACAACTTGTGTACATACTGTAAGAAATTGAGACATGCCAAAGAACGAAGCTAGAAACTCAATGGAAAACCTCCTGCTTCAAGTAAAGAATGGGAATACAAAGGAGGGCAACAAAGGTACCATGGGCAGGCACGCTTGATCACCACCCAATCAAATGAAGGAAGAACCAAGAACAACAAAACTTCAACGCAGATAGATAGAAAAGCTAAGAACCTTATTATGAAAGACCCTCAGGTACATGTTCTTTGGCACATTCAGGTGAGTTTCTATTTTCTCTTGGGTTAAATATCACAAATGGAACCTTTGAGAACTCATGGGTCATTGACTCAAGAGCCATAAATCACATGACTAGGTCATCCCAAAATTTTAGTACATACACCCCTATCCTAGCACTAGAAAGATTGTCACTGCAGCTGGTTGATTGATCACTGTGGCAGGTCATGGGGATATCAAAATTAATTCCTCATTTTTCCATAAAAATGTTTTTTATGTCCCCAAGTTGTCCACGAGTCTTGTGTCTGTACATAAGCTTAACCAAGATTTATGCTACAATGTAATTTTTCACTCTATTCACTAAGTATTTCAGGACCAGGGCTCAGGGAAGATGACTAGACATGCTAAAGAGAAGGACGGAGACTATTACCTTCAAACATCAAGTGGTCCAAGCATTATCAAAGTGCAAATCACCCTTCTCATTCCTTTCTAAGAATTCTTCTTCCAATAAAGACAAGATCTAGCTTTATCATCATAGACTTGGTCATCCATCATCTAGAACTCTTAGGGTTATGTTTCCCTTTCTGTTTAAACGAGTAGATGTCGAAAGCTTCCATTGTAATGTGTGCGAACTTGCAAAGCACAAACAGGCAACTTTTCCAATGAGCAATAAAAGAAGTTCTCTCTTGTTTTTCTTAATCCATTGTGATATATGGGGTTCCTCTACAGCTCTTAATATCTCTGGGGCTTGGTGGTTCATTTCATTTATTGATGATTGCACTAGAGTCTCTAGAATTTTTCTGCTTTAACACAAATCTGATGTGAATGTTGTTCTACCTAATTTTCATAACGTGGTCAAAAACCAGTTTGGTGTCAATCAAAAAATTAAAGTCAGACAAAGCAAAAGACTATTTCAATCAATCAAGTCCTGAGTGAGCACTCCACAACAAAATGGAAAGGCAGAGAGGAAAAATGGCCACCTACTTCATACATTCCGAGCATTCCTGTTTCAAAAAAAGTGCCTAAGTCCTACTGGGGAGAAGTAGTTCTTTCAGCTGCACATCTTATAAATAGGGTTTTAGGTTTCAAGAGTCCTATGGAAATGTTCTCTCAACTCTATCCTGGCATGAATACCATATATCATCTCATCCCCAAGATATTTGGGTGAGTGTCATCCGTCCATGTTCATAGTCAAAATAAGAGAAGGTTAGATCCAAGAGCAATCAAATGTATCTTTGTCAGTTATTCATCAACCCAAAAAGGGTACAAGTGCTATCATCCTTCTTCAAGGAAATTTTATGCCTCTGCAGATGTCACCTTTCGTGAAATTGAGTCATATTTCAACCCACCTATCTTCAAGGGCAGAATACAATCATGGAAGATAAGGAAAAAAACTTCTTTATGCCCGATCTTCCCTCATCCTCATCATCATTAAAATCCAATCCCTACTTGTACATGCCTTCTTCTGTCGAACCCATGTAACTTGTGCCTTCTATTGAACATGTGCCTTTATCAAACATTGACAGTCCAAATAGTGAACCCCGTGGCTGGGGATAGTGATGCTCTTGATAATACAAGGTACGCTCAAGTGTATTCAAGGAAGAAAGCTTCAATTGCTGAACCTATACAAGTTTGAAAATCTGATCCCAACTCTAGAAATGAGGTAAAAGTAACTAACCCTAATCTACAAACCTAACCTAAATTTTATACAAGTAGCAAACTAGACCAAGATCTGCCTATTGCCATTTGGAAGGGAACCAGGGAATGTATTAAACATCCACAATATCCACTTTCACGCTGTGTAGCTTGAGAAATTCTCATCATCACATAAAAGCTTTTAAACACCATTTTCATTCTAACCACTTTGTCCAAGGCGCTATCTAATGAAAATTGGAAACAAGCAATGAATTTGGATATGGAGGCCATACAGAAGAATAAAACTTGGAATTTAGTGGATTTAGGCCCATGGGATGCAAATGGGTTTTTACTGTAAAGTACAAAGCAAATGGGTAACCAAAGAGGTATAAGGCGAGGTTGGTGGCTAAAGGGTACGCTCAGACACATATATTGTGGATTATCAAGAAACTGTAGCTCATGTTGCTAAGATGAACGCTATGAGAGTTCTATTGTCCTTGGCTGCCAATTATAATTGGCATTTGCAACAATTTGGTCTTAAGAAAGCTTTCCTGCATAGAGATCTAGAAGAAGAAATCTATATGGAGATCCTACCTGGATTTGGAGGCAATCTAGCTACCAATAAAGTGTGTAAACTGAGGAAAGCTCTGTATGGACTTAAACAATTCCAGACTGTGGTTTGGAAGGTTTGCAAAAGTGAAGATAGCTATGGGATACAGAGAGAGCCCAGGAGACTACATGCTATTCATCAAACACTCAGACTCAGGGAATGATGAAAAGGAGAGACAAGTTTTAAGGCAACTTCTGTCAAAGGAGTTCAATATAAAACAGTTAGGAAGGCTGAAATACTTCCTAGGGATCAAGGTAGCACATTCAAGGCAGGGAATCTTTATCCCCCAGCAAAAATATGTTATAGACCTTAAGAAATTGGAAACTGGTTTGTAGACCTGCAAGCACACCGATTGATCCTAATCACAAGCTTGGAGAGGCAAAAGGAGATACTGCTGTGATTAGGGAAATGCACCAAAGGCCGGTAGTGAGGCTTATTTTGTCTTTCTCACACACGGCCAGACATAGCCTATGCCGTCATTGTAATTAGTCAATTCATGCACAGTCCAAAAGAAATACACTTGCAAGCTGTTAATGAGTGCTAAAATACCTTAAAGGGACTCTAGGGAAATGCATTTTGTTTAAAAGAGGTAGAAGGTTAGTCCTTGAAGCATACACAGATACTGACTATGCTGGATCCGTGATTGACAGGAGATCAACCTCTGGATATTGCACCTTCCTTGGTGACAATATCGTGACTTGGAGAAGTAAGAAACAAAATGTGGTAGTGAGATCTAACATTGAGGCAGGGTTTCGAGAAATGTACAAAAAATTTGTGAGCTGCTATGGTTGAAGATTGTTCTAGAGGATTTGAAGATTGAATGGGATGGTCGTATGCGACTTTACTGCAACAACGAATCTGCAATTAATATTGCACACAATCCTATGCAACATGACTGAACAAAACACATTAAAGTAGATAGACACTTCATAAAAGAGAAGTTGGACGGTTAGCCTGATTTGCACACCTTAATCCCTCAATTAGCATATTTCCACCGCCCACCAAGTTTCTTTTCTTAAGACATTCTAGCACATCCTTGAGAGCATGAATCAACAATCTTGACCAGACATCATCGAAAGATAATTACAGAATATTGTAGGGAAATCCACCCCTTTATCATGGTACACAATAATGAAACAAGCATATTATGCACCTAAATGCATGATACTAGCAAGGTTTAAATGATTTAAACAAAACCAATCATTAATAATAACAGTTTATATGAACTGTGCAAATAAGCACTAGAAGACCTCCTATGAAATTGAGGTATTGCAGCCACATTCGTCAGGAAGAGAGATGCCTGGAATCAGAAGTTTGTCTTCCTATGACTAATTACTATAACAATATGATTCATAACAAATGAGATGATAACAAGAATCTGCCTATAAGTCCAATGACACAAAGAATGAAGTTAATACCGTGAGAAGTTTGTACAATATCGATTCAACATCCTCACCAACATAACCAGCCTGCAAAAAGGAAGAATTGCCTCATTAAATGGGACAGCCAAAAAATAAGAAAAATGTTTAGCTAAGAAAAGTGGGGGATATGGTTAATCATAAAGGCCAAAAAGCATCAAAGTAATAGTAAATTATAGGACCTCAGACCGTTCAGCAAAAGGCATCAATTATAGAAGTAGTACCTACGTTTCCATGATAAGATTTTATTTTGGCTAGGAAGATATCTTCAAATCATCAGCTAAAATACTTCAACAAGCACAAGCTTGAATGTTGAAAGTTGCTACCATGATAATTTGTACATAGTAATCTATGAATATATTGGTCTCGGGGAAGAGGGTGCCGTATAAGGGACGGGAGAAAGCTACCTTCCCTTACATAGCTCAAGGTCAACAGGTTTCACATGATCCAGAAATATGTATTTTACAAGATTTTCATAGATTAATAGGGGCTATGGACTTGCCTGCGTCAAAGTTGTTGCATCAGCAATGACAAAAGGAACATTGACAAAGCGAGCCAGAGTTTTTGCCAATAAAGTCTTTCCTGTTGTAGGATATGTACATATATAAGAAGGGAATCCAACAATGTAATTTTATGCATCCAACTAGGAATAGTGAAGACTGTATACCAGAGCCAGTTGGTCCGACCAAGAGCACATTGCTTTTCTCTAACTCCACATTGTCGACATCATCAATTGCTTCTAAACTTGCTCCTCCTGACCTAGCATTCAAATCTGTTACCTCAGTTTTATCTACCACTATGTTGTATATCAGTATACGCAATGCCATACAATTAACCTAAAATAACCAAAATGAGATGAAAAATTCAGAATGAATATGGAAACTAACTAACCCCTTCTCCAAGGAGGCATGATATATTCTTTTGTAGTGGTTATAAACGGCGACCGACAGCACCTGCAATAATGATTTATAGCAATGTGAGGATTTGGATTTGGATTGGATTTTATATATGTATTTATAAATTTGATACTTAAAAATCACACACCTTCTTTGCCCTGTGCTGGCCGATAACGAACTTGTCAAGGCCCTTGCAAATCTCCCTGGGCGTAGGCAAATCCTTCCCCAAATTGGCCCCGCCCAACCATGTGCCATTACCATGAGTATGGCCTTCCTTGGGCCTGGCAGCCCGTATGACATTAACTCCGGGTGCAAAGGGCGGGCCAGGCGGAGTATGCACAGCGAGGCCATTCCCAGGAGGAGGTGGAGGTGGCGTTGGCTGCCAATTCTCGGATCTAAGATTGTCCCAAAAGGATACTCTAAGGCTGTTGCGAGGAGGAGAAGGAGAAGCAGTTTTGGAATTGGATTTAATCTCCAGGAAGGTGCCCTGAAGAGGGTATATGCGGTGGGTGCGAAAGTGATAGGCGGTTCTGCAAGTGGGGCAGAAGTTCACGGGAATAAATTTGCTGCTGCTGGAATTGTCAGATGAATCTGATTCATCATCACCATGAGGATGAGGAAGATTGAAATTGAAATAATTGTGGTTGGAGCAGCGAGGGCAATTGATCTCCGCTCTGAGCTTTCGAATGGGAGTGGGAGTGCTTTTTCTTTTGCTTTTGTTAGTAGTAGTATCATTTTTGTTTTTAATTTTGTGATTGTCGCCTCCTCCTCCTGCCCCACTTGAGTACCGCTCTTGCATTCCAATTCCTATTCCTTCTGAATCCCTCCTCCAATGGCAACGCCAACCCAAGTAACTCAAATTCCTCAAGGACTGCTCCATCGTTACCAGCTTCCTCCATCTCCGCCACACCCCAGACATTTTTTAGATTTAGATTTAATAATAATAATAATCTGTCTCTCTCTCCAGCATTTGGTTTGTCTTCTCAAGGAATTTATTTACTTACTAGAAGTAAGTGTATTTATAATTCTAATAAATTAAGTAGAAGAAGAGACAAGAGATGAGGAGAGAATTGCGGATTGCCGGGAACACCACCACCACCAGCGACCAGCGATACCAATTACATCCATTACTTTACAGAGGAGCTTGCGAGAGTGATAAAAGGAAGTTAGTTTGTGTTTTCCTTTTTCTTTTTTCTTTCTTGCCAATTAATCTTTGACAGATCTACATACCAAGAAAAAAATAACTAAAGGAAAAGTATATTTACCGTAATGTTATTGTATGGGAAAAAGTTTTTAGCGTTTGTACTGTATAAAATTTTTAATGTGGTATTTTTTAAAAAAATATATAATGTGATATATATATATATATATTTTAAAAATATGTTACGTGACCTTAACGTTGTGAAATAGCTCTATTGATTAGATTCGTCGAAAAGTGAAGAGACGTGACTGGTTTGAGCCATTTAAAAAATTTTGAATAAGTTGTACGTATGGCATCCATGTGATGCATATGTGTCAATGATATGGTAGCCACGTAGATGCCGCATATCATTTTTAAATTTTTATACAATTTTTATTGTGAAATATAAATTCATTGATTTAAGGAAGTGTGCTATCCGCAAGTACTACATCAGAAAAAATGTTAGGACATTCATTAATCCATTGGAACTCCTCTACTGGTGATGTAATTGCATACTTTACAAGTTTGGATACGGCCCCATTTGCCTCGCTTTTTGTATGAAAAGCTGAAAAGTGACTAAAGTTTAGCCTCAATGTCCCCTGCATCTTGTATCAGTTCACCGATCATCGACAGCTGCATGCCCTTCAGCTATTTCAGACTTTAGCTGGTTCACTACTTCAAGTGCATCCCCTTCTACTATAACCGATTATAATCCCAACTATTTGGAAAATCTAACAACTGTATTCAGGGTTATTGCCTTTACAACAACTAGATCACTAACATGTTTTACTCTATTTGAGCATTCCCCTAACACATTGCCCATTCCATCCCTAACAACAACCCCTATCCCACACACCCTGCATCCACCTTGACTGCACCGTCCAAGTTTGCCTTAGAATAGCCAGTTTCTGGGGCTCTCCATTTTGGTATCTTCTGCATGATTTGCATCCTAGGCCATACTTGAGCTTCTCTGTATTCATCCAAAAACTGCCTTACATATGCCATGATTTCCTCGGCAGTTTTGCACCCATTATTTTTTATATCCACATTCCTATTGTGCCATAACACCCAGCATGCCATCAGTCCCAGTTCCAAGCTGTTTCGGGTTCCTTTCTCATACAAACTACTTAGCCATCCCTTTTCACTTTCAATCTCTGCATCAGACGATTCATCCCCCCAGCATTCCATTTTCCATACGTCACTTGCCACCTTACATCATTTGAACGCATGTATCATTATTTCCTCTTCTTGTCCACATCTGGGACGTACATCCTGGACATTGATTCCCCTCCTCCTTAGGTTGGTAAAGACTAACAGTATTCCACTATTTAGGCACCAGCCAAAAACTTTTATTGTTTTAGGTATGTTAAGCTGCCAAAGATATTTCCAGAAGCCGTTACAAGCTCCATCATTTATGTCATCCCCAGTGGAGCCGGTGAAAGGTCTATATACACTTTTCACCGTGAACTCACCCTTTTTTTCCAGTCCCCCATATGAGTTTATCTTCTCTACTAACGCGTGTCAGTGGAATACAGCATATCAACTTCACATCTTCTAAAAAAACTTGTCATACTTCATCCTCCTCCACCTCCTAGTGTTCGGATCAATTAATTCTGCCTCCAAACTGTAATTTACAGCCCTTGTACTATCCCTATATGGTTATGCCTTTGTACCAGGTTTTATCCATGCATCGTTCCAAGTTGTAATTAAGTTTCCATTTCCTACTCTCCATTGTAGTCCCATCTCTAATACCTTCCTCGCCACCCATATACTACGCCATGCAAAAGAAGGGTTAACGCCCAAGTCAGCCCCCATGAAGTTGGATCTTAGAAATACTTCACCTTGAGTACCTTGTGAACCAATGACCCTAGCCTTTTTAATACTCTCCAGCCTTGTTTTCCCAACAGCACCACATTAAACTTTGATGCATCCCGAAAACCCATTCCTCCCACAGCTTTGCTATGACATAACTTCTCCCATTTAAGCAAATGAATCCCTTGACCGTTTGACTATGATCTCCACCAAAACCTGTTGACAATGTTATTAATTTCATCACATAACCCTTTCGGTAAGAGGAAACAACTCATGGCATACGTTGGTACCGCTTGGAGAATTGCTTTTATGTATACTTCTTTCCCGCCTTTTGATAGCATTCCTCCACTCCAGCTTTGTGTCATTCTATTTAGTCGATTTGTTATTTCTCTTAATGCTTTTAACTTTCCTTTACCCAACATAGTAGGAACACCTAAATACTTTTCAGGATTAGCGATCATATGAATCCCAAATATATGTTTCACCCCTTCCATGCAATCTACCGATTTGTTTTTGCTTAAGAATAAGGACGACTTGTCATAGTTTATTTGTTACCCCGAACTTTCTTCATATCTGTATACCATGTACCTCACCCTCATGCATTCTATTGGACTTGCTTTCATGAATAGCAAGCTATCATCTGCAAAGAGCAAGTGAGTAATCCGAGGACCATTTTGCTAGCTCTCACACCAGTTATCCAACCTTCAGTTTGGTATTTCTTTCGCATGGATGAAAAACCTTCTATGCATAAGAGAAATAAATAGGGTGAAAGAGGATCACTTTGACGGGGACCCCTTTCTCAACAAAAGCTGTTAGTGATAATGCCATTAAGGACAATGGAATATGATACAGAGGATATACATCTCATTATCCTATCTATCCACTTTTTAGCAAACCCCATCTATCCCATTACAACCTCTAAAAAAATCCACTCAACCTATCATAGGCCTTACTCATGTTTAACTTTAAGGCCACATACCCAACCTTGCCCAACCGTTTGTGTTTTAAGGCATGTATTAATTCATAAGTGACCAACACATTATCAATAATTAGCCTACCTAGAACAAAAGCACTCTAAAACTCACTAATACATTGGGGCAGAAAACTCTTGAGCTTATTCGCCAATGTTTTCGAGATGATCTTATAAATGACATTACATTGACTAATGGGTCAAAAATTAGCCATTGTTCTAGGATTTTTAATTTTAGGAATCAAAGCAATATTAGTGTTGTTTACATAACAAATCCGCCCCTCCCCGTTTAAACAATCTTAGCAGAAATCAATTACATATTTCCCAACAATATGCCAATATTTTTAGAAGAATAAAACGGGCATATCATCAGGTCTGGGAGCTTTTGTTGGATTCATTTACTTGATTGCTTTATGAACCTCCTCAGCCTGGAATTCTGCTAAGAGAAAATCGTTCATTTCGTCTGTAACTCAAGCCTCTATCCCCTGGGTGATCTCATTAAAATTAGTTGGTCTTTGGGATTTAAACAACTTCTGAAAGTAGCCAAGAGCTATATTTTCCATCTTGTATCTTCCTTCCACCATCTACCATTTTCATCCTCCAATCCCTTTATGTGATTATTTCTTCTTCTGCTAGAAGCTTGAGCATGAAAGTATGATGTGTTTTTATCCCCGTCTCATAGCCAGCTAATTCTCAACCTCTGCTGCCAGAACAACTCTTCTTTTTCCATTAAATCATTTATTGCAGTCCTTACCACAATCTCCCTACTCACATTTTCCTCATTCGGACATTGCATTTTAATCAGCTCATATTCCGCGTTCAACTTCTTCAACTATATATGGAATTTGCCGAACATGGTAGTGCTCCATGTGCCAAGATGTTTCTTCACATTAGCCATCTGATCGGTCAAACATCCCATGCCCCCATCCTTCCAGCCGCTACAAATGGCATTCTCACGTCTCCTCTTTTGTCCGCATAGACTCAAAGAAGAATCGTCTCTTCCCTTTGCCCTTGTGCTTAATTTTCCTACAACCTTCCGTGTCTACCATAACTTGATTATGGTCAGATACACAGATAATGGAATATTGATGACCGAAAACCTTGGAAATAAATTTTTCCATTGCTTATCCCTCAATACTCTATCAAGTCGTTACCTTATAATTTGGGATCTCTCCCCCTTTCCCAAGTGTACCAAAGCCCTTTGTATCTCAGATCCTCTAAACCCGCATCATCTATTGCCTCGTGAAAATTATGCTGTTATGACATATAGATTCGTGAATTTGTCGTTAGACATAGAATAAAGAGAGTTACCAGTAATTTTTTTGTTTAGATGTGATTGGTCATTTAATCAATTTATTTCATTTAAAAAAGAATCTCAATATTGACTTAATATCTTTAAATAATAGATTCTTTAGATTCGAGAATGCGATTATGTATGAGGAATGTTATAGCACCCTTACAACGTTCATCTAAAGAATAGTACCAATTTGATTTCAAATTGTCTAAGCCTTAAATGTATTTGTAATTTACTAGAATATTTAATATTAAAAATTAATCTTAAAATTACCATAATAGTTTAATAGTAATTTAAGATAATTTTCTCATTTCGAAAACATTCATAGAGACTAATATCTCACATTGAAGAGGTTCCGTCATCATATTTATTAATACATTTTATTCAAAAAAATTAGTAAAATCTTTCAATAATTTGGTAAGATTTACTTTAGGTAGATCTCCCAATAATTTAATGAGATTTTATTTAAAAGATATTTATAAAATTTTATTTTTATTTTTTAAAAAAATGTATTAAGTCTCTCAATAGTTTAGTAAGACTTAATTTAAGAAATAAATCCTCGAATAGTTTGGTAGGATAAAAATTATTTTTTTTTTAAATTTATTCATGAAATTTTCTAATAGTTTGGTGGATTTCATAAAATTTAAATCCATGAAAATTCTCCAATAATTTTGTAGGATTCATGAATTTATTTTAAATTTTTTTTATTATTTATTCTTTTTATTGTTTTTTTTAGAAAAATGTTTTTTATAAAATGTTTAATAAATAATAATTTACTCAATAAAAATAATAGATAATGAAAACCAGTAAAATAAAATATAAAATTTTAAAATATAAAAAAATTAAAATATAAAATAAATCAAAAAATAAAATTAAAATGAAAAAAAAAAAAAGAAAATCTGCCATCAGATCGAACCGAACCATGGGTGGCGTGTTGATCTTATTTGAATTACACATGAATCTAGGCTTGCTGAAACAGTGTCATTTTGGAGCTTTATAAAAGCTAAACCTTTCGTTTTTGCCTCAAAAGCCCTCTGCTATTTTTT